CGACAGTCACTCGCAAAAGTGAGATCTAATAGAGATAGATAAACGGTAAAGTAAATATTTTTGGTATTTTTGGTTTATATAATGGAATGTAAAGATTGCAAAAGAATAGATCGGAAACTAGCAAGATGTAAACGAGATTTAATAATATGGAAAAGAGACCCGGGGGGTCATAGGTTTCACTAGTGGCTTCTCTCGAGATAGCAAATATTACGGTGGCTGAACAAATTATTGTCGAGCAATTGATAGAAAAGCGCATAATTATGATGACATCTAAGGCAAATGATCATGAACATAGGCATCACGTCCGTGTCAAGTAGACCGACTCCTGCCTGCATCTACTACTATTACTCCACACATCGACCGCTATCCAGCATGCATCTAGAGTATTAAGTTCATAAGAATGGAGTAACACATTAAGCAAGATGACATGATGTAGAGGAATTAACTCAAGCAATATGATGAAAACCCCATCTTTTTATCCTCGACGACAATAATACAATACGTGCCTTGCTGCCCCTACTATCACTAGGAAAGGACACCGCAAGATTGAACCCAAAGCTAAGCACTTCTCCCATTGCAAAAAAGATCAATCTAGTAGGCCAAACTAAACCGATAATTCGAAGAGACTTGCAAAGATATCAAATCATGCATATAAGAATTCCGAGAAGAACCAAATAATATTCATAGATAATCTTGTTCATAAATCCGCAATTCATCGGATCTCGGCAAACACACCGCAAAAGAATATTACATCGAATAGATCTCCAAAAACATCGAGGAGAACTTTGTATTGAGAATCAAAGAGAGAGAAGAAGCCATCTAGCTAGTAACTATGGACCCGAAGGTCTGTGCTAAACTACTCACGCTTCATCAGAGAGGTAATGGTGTTGATGTAGAAACCCTCCATGATCGAATCCCCCTCCGGTAGATAGCCGGAAAAGGCCCCAAGATGGGATCTCATGGGTACAGATGGTTGCGACGGTGGAAAAGTGGTTTCGTGGCTCCCTTGATGTTTTTAGGGTATAGAGTATATATAGGCGAAGGAACTAGGTCAGGGGAGCTACGAGGGGCCCACGAGGGTGAGGGCGCGCCCTCCTGCCTCGTGGCTGCCTCGTTGCGTCTCCGACTTCATCTCCAAGTCTTCTGGTTTGCTTTCGGTCCAAGAAAGATCATCGCGAAGGTTTCATTCCGTTTGGACTCCGTTTGGTATTCCTTTTCTGTGAAACTCTAAAATAGGCAAAAAAACAGAAACTGGCACTGGACCCTCGGTTAATAGGTTAGTCCCAAAATAATATAAAATAGCTTATTAAAGCCCATTAAACATCCAAAATAGATAATATAATAGCATGGTACAATCAAAAGTTATAGATACGTTGGAGACGTATCAAGCATCCCCAAGCTTAATTCATGCTCGTCCTTGAGTAGGTAAATGATAAAAATAGAATTTCTGATGTGGAATGCTACCTAACATATTTATTCATGTAATTTTCTTTATTCTGGCATGAATGTTCGGATCCGAAAGATTCAAGACAAAAGTTTAATATTGACATACAAACAATAATACTTCAAGCATACTAATAAAGCAATCATGTCTTCTCAAAATATCATGGCCAAAGAAAGCTATCCCTACAAAATTATATAGTCTGGCTATGCTCTGTCTTCATCACACAAAATATTTAATCATGCACAACCCCGATGACAAGCCAAGCAATTGTTTCATAATGTTGATGTTCTCAAACTTTTTCAATCTTCACGCAATACATGAGCGTGAGCCATGGACATAGCACTATAGGTGGAATAGAATGGTGGTTGTGGAGAAGACAAAAAGGAGAAGATAGTCTCACATCAACTAGGCGTATCGACGGGCTATGGAGATGCCCATCAATAGATATCAATGTGAGTGAGTAGGGATTGCCATGCAACGGATGCACTAGAGCTATAAGTGTATGAAAGCTCAAAAAGGAACTAAGTGGGTGTGCATCCAACTTGCTTGCTCACGAAGACCTAGGGCACTTTGAGGAAGCCCATCATTAGAATATACAAGCTAAGTTCTATAATGAAAAATTCCCACTAGTATATGAAAGTGACAACATAGGAGACTCTCTATCGTGAAGATCATGGTGCTACTTTGAAGCACAAGTGTGGAAAAAGGATAGTAACATTGCCCCTTCTCTCTTTTTCTCTCATTATTTTGTGGGGCCTTCTTCTTTTTTATGGCCTCTTTTTTTCCTATTTTTTGTCCGGAGTCTCATCCCGACTTGTGGGGGAATCATAGTCTCCATCATCCTTTCCTCACATGGGACAATGTTCTAATAATGAAGATCATCACATTTTATTTACTTACAGCTCAAGAATTACAACTCAATACTTAGAACAAAATATGACTATGTGAATGCCCCCTGCCCCCGTATATAAAGGAGGGAGTGGGAGAGGCAGCCGGCCCTAGGGGGCGCGCCTAGGTGTGGAGTCCTACTAGGAATCCCTAGTCCCAGTAGGATTCCACCTCCCACACGGAATAGAAAAGGGGGAAGGGAGAAGGAGAAGGAAGGGGGGGTGACCCCCTTCTCCTAGTCCTAATGCGACGTGACAGCTCACGCGCGCAGCTGGATGTTTTTGCAAAGAATGTGACACAAGACGACAGCGGTTTGAACACCTTTCTTCTATCAATGGTTAGATTGGTTCAAACTTCCACTGATGCTAAGCCTCGCATTTGGTGGTCTTCATGAGTGTGAGGCTGCAAGAGGTGGCAAGATAAACTCAAAATTCATTGGTAATTCTGGTGGTGTGGTCGGTCTGGAGAGATATGAACAAAAACATGTTTGATAAAGTGCAACACTATTGCAGAGAGTCTTAGACTACCCACAATGGAAGTAACATAGATGGTAACATCACACATCTCTAGGCAAAACAGATGATGTGGCGGGTAATTAATTAGGAAAGAGAGGCATGTGATAACATAGCTAGTTACTGTAACATCACACGTACCAAGACAAGATGAGTCTACAACCTAATAAATGAAGTGTTGCATGACACCACACATATGTTACTCCCCACTATAGAAGTAGTAACATAGACTAATAACATATGCATGTTACTAGTCTACTACCCATTGTGATTAGTCTTAGAACAGATAAAAACTTCATTTTTCTCGAGAGTCGGATAGGCCTCCTGGAGGTCTAATATGAATCGCAGGATGGCGGTATGAGTGGAGAGATGTGAAAATGGAACTACCTTGGTGGATGTCTTTGCGACGTGCCGTCCACCTGCCCAGATGGTGACCAGGGCCCGTGTAAACTGATCACGCAACAATGAATCAATCTATTAGGGTCAAGATCCATTGTTTAGTGCTAGGCTCTATAGTGACATAGACATACTACCTCCGTCCGAATTTAGAGGTCCCGGAAGCCAAAACACAGAGACCAAGGAGAAAATAAAAGCTAATTCTTGGACGTGGCAACAGCCAATCAGAGTCCAACTAAGCAAAAAGTCTAATGTGGTATGCTAGTTAAGAAGAGAGAGTGGTATGGTGACCCCAGAAAGAAATGGTGCTAAGCACGTGTACCTAGGTGAAAGCACAATTCTGAATCTACAACTAATTAAATGCATGAAGCTTAGCACCCAAAAACTCAGCACATTTGCATTGGGGACTTGAGTTGCTAAGACATTTAATATACTTAACACCTAATCTAAGCACCTTTGCATTGGAAGAGGTCTAATGATCCTCTAAAAGTGGGCACTATCCTTCCCTCTCTCCTTGATAAACATGCATGCAGCAGCACGCTCCATCTCCCATTGGTTTATCCTTTGTTAGTAGTCCCTTCATGCATGCAATACTAATTCCCCGTAATAACTTTTTTTTGTTTGAGAAAAATTCCCCGTAATACCTGCCCTATAGAACCCGGAGAGGGGCCTTAAAAACAGGGACAAGGTTAGCTGGCTCACGGGACCTGTAAACCCAGACGGATGTAGTATTTAACAACTTCTTCTTCCCCAAGGCCCACACTCAGCGGGCCATGGCGCATTCAATGGTGAATGCCACCATTAGTCCTCAATCTCTCAAATCTCGCAGGCTCGCGGCAACTTGTACTTGTCATGTTTCAATGCAAAAGGAGATTGGTTATAGGGTGCTAAGCGCAAAAGAAAAACCTTTAATAATGAAGGAACTTGGGCTTTCCAGAGCTGATTTATTACAATAACGCGTAAAGTACACAACTTAGTAATTGATCCATTTGCCGAAAAAGGCTTTCGCCCCTCTTTATAAATAAAGCAAACCGCCAAAGTCACAACAAGATTCAATAAAGGTCCAAACAGAGACAGAGTTGATCCCATTTGCATGAGAAAATTGCTTTGTGGAAGACACCCATGGGGCTGAAGAAACTATGAAAGTTGATCTGTAATTTTATTCCCCTCCAATAATTGTGTTGGGCCATGTCATTGATGTCGGGGGCGATGGCTCCACGCATGGTAAGCAGGGTGACATATAGTGGTTGTCTGAGTTATTCGGCCTAAAAGGATACTCCCACTAATCCAAAAAAGGTGTCGCAGTTTTGAACTAAGTTCAAAACTGCGGAACTTTTTTTTTGGATTTGAGGGAGTAGTATTTTTATTCTTGTAGATTTTTTAGGGACATGGTCATAGTTTTTTAGTTCATTGGTTCTGCTCATGATTTATAGGTATTTTGTTCCTGTCTGTAGACAAAGGTTTACGACTCTTTTGACCCTCAACAACACATTCCATTTTATATAGAGGATGGAAGTAGGTAGATGCACTAAGCACATGACGTGATGTGCATTTTTTTTAAAAGGATAACGTGATGTGCATGATAGTGCTACCAATAAGTTAACATCTTACATTGAAACCAAATAAACATAACTTACAAAGTTCGTACAGATCCTTCATTGTTAAAACGAATTACACGCCTAGACATACAGCGGCAAATATATGCAACATACGTATAGGCACTTTGCACTTGCAGGCCAATATTACAAACTTTGTGCGTATTAATCAGTCGATTCTCTTACTTTCATAAGGGGAAAGACTGGGCGTGTCGCAATGCCACACTGACCTGATGGATTCGTTGTGCCCCTCTTCATTAGCATGTAACCTTTGTCGCCCCATGTCACCCCCCACGAGTTCTTCACGATCCAATACTTGGCACCATCTTGTGCCTGTCGCCCATAGCCTACTACGGTGACGGCATGGGTCAGTTTTGTGGTGCTGCATGGCCCGTTGAAGATGCCTCCCTTGTAGTGGTGGAAATGGCTTCCACTTGACGCGATCGAAACGGCTATAGGTCGGTTAGCCACGGCGTTCCTCAGCGACACCTCGTTGTTGCCCTCGACTCTCCCGGAGCCAGTGATCTTTGCGGCCGGCTTACGGTTCGTTCTGCACCGACCAGTGGCTGCCTTGTATCCGTAGGAGGATGTGGTGGTGATCCCTCCATTTTGTTGGATCCACTGGAAAGCTCTGCTAGCCCGGCTGCCGTTGCAACCGCCGTCAAAGAAATCGCAGTCTACTAGTTGTTGCTCCGACAGAGACACGAGGGACCCTCTCTTGATCTTGTGTAGTCCTTCGATTGCACCCACAGCGGCGAATGCCCAGCAAGATCCTGCAGTTTCATAACAATGCTTATAACTTCATCATTGAGCTAGCTTGGTATTTAAAAAGGTATTTTGTAGCCGTTGTTACATTGTTAGCGAGTTGTCGTACGTTCTCAATTGTTCTAGTTATATATAGCTAGTAGAGAAAAGGAACAAGAGATGTTGCACGTACCACATTCCCCTTGGTCTTTAACCGGGGTGACGGCGCCTCTCTTCCTCCAGTCCACGCTACTCGGTGCCCTGGCCGAGAAGTTGGCGATGACACCCTCATATGTGCCCGCGCCATTGACAGGGCCAACACGGGTGGTGATAATCTGCTCGTCATCCTCCGGAATCTGCCCGGTATAAAGCGCCATGAACTCTTCATCTGTAAGGTCTGTGAAGGGACCCTCCCCAAGCTCGTACGTGAGCCCAGAGGTAGTCGCGTCAGCATTCACAGCCTGTATGTACCTCATGTTGCTCTTGTATACCTCAAACCGACGAGCCTTCTCGTCGGAGGTGGAGTAGGATCTGTTCTGCACCGTCATCCACACGTGGAAACGGCCCATCATCAGATCATGGTGGTCGTCGGTGCTGATGCCGGAGCGCTCACGGTGAAGATCATCGCTTGTCGTTGGCAACGACTCGGAGGAGCAACCGGCTAGCATCAGGCAGCTGGTGGCAAGGAGCACACATAGCGCTAATGAAGAACACCTAGACATGGAGAGCATGATTGTGTGACCAGTCATTTGATGGTAATGCTAATGTGTTGGTGGTGATTGGATGCTCTCATGCTCAGCTAGGTTGTGTTGCTTTTATAGCCTAACTTAATTGGCTATATGAAAGAAGTAACATGCATGAGGGCATGGCCAACGTGCTGCCCCGGAGGTTCGTGTGAGGTAGCGGCCTCTTGCAGAGGCGGCAGCTGCTCAATAAGGAAGAAGAAAATAGTAACTGAGATGTGGCAGACTGAGACGAGGGAAGAAAGTGGCGATTCAGGTGGTGTGGACAAGGCATGTCTCCCACGTCTAGTCCACCCATATTTATTTAGAGTAAAGTCTTGTCCAACCATACGATGATTGAGGCTATCATGCAGTCGGGTTTTTTTACATCACCAAAGCGGAATCATCCGGTAGCCAACGGGGCCGGCGCTGCACCAGCTATGTAATGCTTGTGCACATGCTAGTACCTGAAATCATAGAGGCCAAAATTTCCACGTATAAAATATTACAAGTTTTAGAGTGGTTGGGCTTTTTTAGAACCGTTCGTTCATGTCGATCTAACGGCAGACAAATACGAAGTACTGGGTAGTACTCCGATGAAAGTACGCGACAGTACTAAAACGAGTGGGGCCGGTACTCGTGACAAGGTGGGGACGCGTTTTAATATAGGGGCAGTTTAGTCCTAGGAAAATTTGCACGCGCCGGGGCAGTTTAGTCCTAGAAAAATTTGCACGCGCCGCCCCTCTCGTCGAATGCAAAACCGCCGCCATGGTGCTACAACTTGGGTCATCTCCTCCCTCTCCTCCCTCTCCTCCAAGTCCACCGCAGTCATCTCCTTCTCGCCGCTGCAACTTCGCTCCACTCAGGCAACCCCCCCCCCACCCACCCACCCCCATCCCCTCTTCCATCGAAGCAAGAATCGGCAGATCGAGCTGATGGCCGGCGGCGAGAACACCGACTTCGTGCAGATCGCCAGCGGCGACCAGGTCAAGTTGGCCAGGTTGAGGGAGATCCGTTCTTGGTTTGACAACACAAGGCAGATGAGCTGGACGGCAATGGCCACTTTCAAGAATTTGACGAAGAGGGAGAGGGCAAAGCTTTGCCCCCCGCCCGCACAACCGATTCACAAGACGAGATCCTCCTGTGGGCGATGGAGCAGGCCAATTCGTCCAGCAAGTGGACCAGGCGGAGGTGGTGGGCGTTCAGATCCAGGGTAGAGCATCCACTGGATCAGGAACCCACCGTGCACGAGATGCTGTTGCAGATTGTGCAGCCTCCAACCGAGTCACCAGAGACTCCGAAGAGCAAGATGAGGAGGACAGTGGTCGCGACCTCGCTTCCCCGCCATTCTCCACGCTTCCCTCGCCGCTCTCCTCGTCTGAACGGCGGCGGTAGATATGTTTAGAGTAAGCTTCCCCACTCCTCATCTTCCTACTGCTCGTGCTTACATCGTGGTGATACTGATCGTAATAGCTCAGAGAGGGAATGCTATATGGCATTTTAATCTCAATGAATTGCATGAATATTTGAGTACATGGATTTGGAGGATGGATTATGATGTATGTGAACCCTAGGCATCATATGAACCCTAGGACTAATTAGTAATGTTCTAGTGGTAGACACTGAAATATTTTGGTACACACCAGTAGGCACTGAAATATTTCGGTACTGCCCTAGGCAAAATTTGCAATGTTGTAGTGGTGGACACTGAAATATTTTGGTACACACCGGTAGGCACTGAAATATTTCGGTACAATGTTGTAGTGGTAGACACTGAAATATTTCATTACTACAATTTCAGTACACACTGATGCACACTGAATTATTTCAGTACTGCAGTTTCAGTACACACCGGTACACACTGAAATATTTCAGTACTGCAAATTCTATACATAGTTGGCATTTTGTCATTTATTTGTGAATTAATCCATGCATTATATGGCCTAACATTGTACATGAGTTTGGGTCAATTTCATGTCAATTTATTGTTAAAATTGTTGTCATGCCATGAAACACAAGACAAGTCACTGACCCAAGCTTGCAAAGATGCCATATCAATGTTGCTGATAAGATGCCATATCAATGTTGCTGATATGAATATGCATGTTTTCACCAAGTCTTGTGTCAGAATTAAAACTGAACATTTTTTTTCTTGATGGTATCCATGGATCTAGAACTTCCTATGAATTGGCTCATGTTGGATGTTTTGTTCTCCATCATTTGTACTAGCATTCCGTGTGATTAGATTCCTGGCAAATTTATTTTCTTGCCTCCAGCATCCCATGTGTGTTTTGCAGGAAAAAACCTGGAGTTCACCAGGCTGGCTGAAGTTGTGAGGCTGGGAGGCTGATGATGCTGCTACCAGCTGATCCTTCTTCTTTCAGCTTTTGTTCGTCCTTTCTCAAGCCGTTGGACCAGGCTACTTCCCTCCTATGTGTTGTTAATGTATTAAGTAGCTCCTTCGAATTTGTATTATTGGTTAGTTTGAATGTGGAAGTACCTTAATTTTTAGGAACGAAATGTTGCTTTGTATGACCAAGGGTTTGATACCTTAATCTTTGGATAATTAATTACGTGAACTGTTGGATGTGGCGCACAACTAAACGCCTCTACCATTGATACTAGTTCAACATGTCGGTCCAATTAGAGACCAGCCACTACCATATAGAACAGTTAGCATTTCATACTACAACCTGGCGCAACACTGAAGCGCCACTACCATATAGAACAGTTAGCGTGTCTGAAGCAACACTGAAGCGCCATTTGTGATAATTGCACCATCGAAACAACAACTAAACATTTAGGAAGCATTCACCACCAATAAAGTTAAGGCCACACATATAGATACCATTCTAAGTTACCACCACATGTACCAGGAAGTTCACCACAGATCCAGTTCACACACACAATACATTACATTACATTACGTTAATAGAGGTAGTTTCCAACCAGTTCAGACCCAGATGCAGCTTTCCAAAAGTAAAACATCATCAAATATAGTGATGATGAGTACGACTTCCAGCTTCTGATGATCAGCGTGATGTACGACTAGAGGTTAGGGTTATTCAGGACCTTGTGGAGGGCAGAATGCTGAGCCCCGATCTTGTAGTCATGACTGCTGATGGATGTAGCCCGACAATGCTCCATCAGATGCTCCTGCAACCTAGACCTGGGCTTGGGCTTGCTGCAGTAGGGGCACCTGTACTTGTCCTTCCTCCAGTTGTAGTACATGGCAGATCCTTGGGCCCTGATCTTCTGCACCTCCTTCTCTTTAAAGGACTCGACGTTGCCCTCGTCCACATCATCTCCAGATTCATACTGCACACATTAATGACTGACATTAATACATTATGCATTCAAAAAACTATAAACACGTAGTACTAACTCAATCCACAAATAACATTTCAACTAGGCCTTACCTCGTACGGCTCGTCTTCATCAGAGTCATATGGGTAGAACCCAGTCTTGTCCCACTTTCTCTTGTTGCCCACAAGATCCTCCTCCTCCTGCTATATTGTCAAACAAGCACATCAATTACAATGAATTGAATTGCAGTTAACAGAATGCCATTACAAACAAAATTGTGAATGTGAACCACATTGGTATGTTGCAAGTGACCAAATGCTTTCCTTATAAATAAAGAATCTAAGCAATCAATCAAAAGACAAATGATTTCCTTCATAAATGCTAATGAAAATGCAAGCTGGATTCTTGACATTCCCTGAATTTACCCAACACTTTTCTTTTGAGGGAATCCCCCCCACACACACACACACTACTTAATGGAAACATATAGTATATTTTGTTGCTAGGATCCTGCCTTGGAATGTTTACTTCACACTTTACATAGTATATACTAATTACAGAAGCCAACTACAAATTTCAATATGCACAGATTACTGTTTTTGGGATAATGCAGCAAAGCTCCTACACATATTAACATAATGCAGTAGTTAATTAGGTACAACTTCAACTATAAATGCATACATCTCCAACAAACATCTAAAATTTCATTACTTACCTAAACAACAACAAATTATAGATGAATCTTGTGTCATCTAAATCAATTCATTAGCACATCAAAATTAATGCATTCCAAATCAAATATGTTTCCATCCAGTATCATTGAACCACAGATCAAATCAAATAATCATAAATGTTAGCAGCATTGAACTGCAGATCTAATAATCATATGACATCTATCTGACCTTAAATTCCCCCTTAAATAAAGTATTCAACCTCATACTAATTAAAATCTAACAAGCAAAAATTCAACTACTAATCTAATAAGCATCTGAAAAAACTCCAAGATGCTTTTATCTCTGAAGCAACGGCATTGCAGAGGATGTTCAATGATGTCAATATCTCTGAAGCAACAACAAAATTCCACAACTAACCCAAACCAATAGAGAAGTATATATTTGACTAATCCATCGTCTAATCCTCAAGCCAAACACCTAAAGAATTGCAAAAATTCCACTACTAATCTAATAAGCATCTAAAAAAATCCCATCCCTCAATACGGCTACTTCTAACCTAATCTAATAATCATATGTGGTCCACCATTGTTGCACGAATCAAATACAGAAAAACCATAATGCAGAGAAAACCCTACCTCCAACAAATCTAACCAAACAAAGTTCTGGCCACAAACACTACAATCTAAAAATTACCAACTAAAAGTGATAAGCAGATACCTTCTGCTCCGCCTCCTCCTCGCCGGAGCCGGCCTCCACCTTCTCCACCTCGTGCCCCTCGCCAGAGCCCGCCCCCACCTTCTGCGCCTCGCCAGAGCCCGCCTTCACCTTCTGCGCCTCGCCGGAGATCGCCAGAGCGGGCGCATCTGGCTGGACCGCGCCGCTGCGGCCCGGCCCCGCCTTCTCCAGATCTCCAGCAGAGGGAGCACCGCGCTTGACGCCGGCATGCCCCCTCACAAAGGTGCCCGCAGCGACCTGCCGCGCCTGCTCCACCAGATCTGCGCCCCAATCGGGGCGCTTGCCTCTTGCGTCCGCCATGGCGATGGAGAG